GTTTCCGAGCGAACGGGTATGTTCCGTTGGGAAAAAAACGACGAATTAACCCCTTTGCTTTATAATTCGACCCTTCGAAGAAGCACGACATCACACTTTTATATATGAAGTGTGAAAGTTCTGAACAAGTAATTGAATTATTCGAACTATAAGAGATAGCTTCATGCGTAGTTTCCTCTCTTTTTAACCCCTTTTGACCTGATTTTTATACAGAATTGTTGTTCACTTATCTAATAACGAAGAACTGGCATTTGAATAATTATTTCGCTATTATTAATTAATTAAATCGTTATTGCGAATAAAATAGTGATAGTATACTACTTTTCTGATAGAAATAAGCTCAAAGCAGTTTTAAATTGTGTCAAATATTAAAGTAGTAAAACAGTGTACCTCGTAATGTGCATCTGAAAGCGTTAATGCATACGTATTCAAATGTATATACGTATTCCTTTAACACAGAAATAGTTAGACAGGTCAAACCCATTTTAGAATTTTTATTGCGTGAATTATTAAGAGGATTATATGTATTTGTGCATATGTAGCCACAGTAGTTGCTTTAAACGTTGAAAAATATAGTTGTAAAACCTTCATGAGATATTATAAATAAGTGACCGTAACTATTCGGTAGCTCTAGCGTTAAAAAATCTTTGTTTGCAAAGGGTTGACCAGGATTGGCAAGGGTTGTTCATTATATTTATAGAAGATGCATACGAATAACATAGAGGCACATTATTATAAACAGATAGAAATTTAAAGATTTGAAAGCAAATTAAACCAATAATTAGATTACCTTATGTAGTTATACAATAGTCACAGCAATATTTTGAAACTTTTTTGCTACTAGTATTTGTAGAGTGCAGCTTGAAATCTAGGTTATTAGATACAATATTATGGAAAAATTTCAGTGATTCAGTAAAAATTAGTTCATTTTCAATGCACTTTAAACTGCTGTTATTTTATTATTTTTAAAGATGAGAGTTTCAGATGAGAACTTTACATATCCATTGTTAAAATTATTGTGTTCTACAATATAATTGGGGCTTATAGTTTTTGATCAAAATACAGTGGCTTCCAACTACTCCGAATGTATAGCACAGTTCAACACACCACCAAGTGGTACTCAGGTCCACCAGCTCCCGTAAGATCGGCGATTTAAAAATAAAAGACTTGACTCATCTGACCGCAGCGGATTTTTCTCTCCGGCATTTCTAATCGGAATGAATTATACGAACTCATCGACAGGATTTTCTTGTACTGTGTTATCGTGAGATTCACCACCCACAGTCGAATATATTCTAGAAACTCTTTTAACTTCCATTTGTTACTTAGCTATCATAATAAAATAATGAAAATTATTTTACTATCGAATAACATTCTTGTTTAATGTGTTCAACAAAAGCAACAAAGACACAGGTCGTTGAAGCATTAACAATTAAAATGTTTTGTATATTTGCAGTTCAAAGTAAATATTATTCTTTTGTTACCAATAATTGTACTTTAAAGCAATGTTTGGCATGGAAATACCTAGAAATTTTATGTTTTTTCAATAAATTATTAAGAACGGAGATCTGGATGGAAAACAAAAAATATTTACAAAAAAATAAAAATCTATCCAAGGAAGAATGAAACTGCACCTATATAGTTGCATACACAAAGAGTTAACGTGTTGGCTGCCGTACAAGAAACCATCAAAATCAACAAAATTCATTTAACAAAACAGAATAAGAAAACAAATGTTTATAAAAGTTTACATTTCAATACTTTAATACTTGCCATATTCAAATTTTTCATTAAACCTCATTTAAAAATACAACCAGACATTTTAGCCATCCTAGTACAGTGGGTTGCTGCAAAAGTTTCGGTAAGGTATAAAAAAAAGTCACAAATAAGTTTGAACCAGTACTTTTATTATTTCTCAAAACATTCTCTCTAAACGTTAATACATTTTCGGTTGCGTTGTGTCAGCACTTTTTAATCTTAAAACCATAGAGCTTCACGAAAATAACAAAAATTCCAGCGTTAAAAGATTCCCGAAACCATTGCAGCAAGTTATACGACATTTAACGTCGAATTTTGTAATTTGCCTGTGAGAAACTAAGTTCCTGAGTTCCCACTCGAGGGCAAAGGGTTAATCTTCGTGTAGGGATGAAATTATTCGTCAGGAGATGGGACATTGACAAGATGAGAGGGGCAAGAGAAGGGGTGTGCGTCAAAACGAATAGGAAAACATCGTCGGTCTCGTTGTTTCATTGGGCGGCTACAGGATAGAAGCAGGTTGGTGCGCTGGGTGGTTCTTCTGGAGCGACGCCAGGCGTCCGCCGAATTTAGCACCGCGACGCTGACTAACTCGCGTGGCATTCATTCAATCGCCGACCAAAAAGCCCGCTGCCTGCATAGTCTCTCTCTTTGCCCGAGCGACGCGTTTCACGCTGCACTCGCGCAGAAAACCTCAGTTTCCATTACATTTCCTCCCTCCGACCCTCCTGCCCCTTTCCCACGGTGCACATTGGCGCCGACACCTAAACTTAACCTTTTGCACTACCGGGGGTCAGTTTTGGTGGCCACTTAATTTGATACATAGAAAATTACAAAATGTAACATTTAATAATAACTTTTGTATAATGTATTGATATGTGAAACATTTTGCTGATTGATGCATGTATGATTGCTTGGTAAGTTACTTTCAACATAAGACGTCAATGAGTATTTATAGTAAAGTAATATTGTGATATTTAATATTGCAATATTTAACACTGTAATACTCAATATTCTATTATTCAGTATTGTAATACTCAATATTGTAATATTCAATACTCTAATATTCAATATTGTAACATTCAATATTTTAATACTTAATAATGCAATTTTATACAATAGTGTCATGCAAGTCAGAATTAATCTCAATGAACTGGTCAGTAGCAACATAACGTGTGACTACAAAAAATAAATGAAACTGATTATTTTCTTAGAACTTTAAACAACTGTAAGACAATAATAGAGTTTCATTTAACATAGGTATCAAGTTTTATGGACTAGAATGGTAAAAGAACTTTTGTGGCTGAAAGTAGGCACACGACCGCAAAAGGTTAAATATTGTGCAATTAAAATATCGTTTATATCAATAACATTCTCTTCCTCTTATAATAATATATATTATTTATAATCAACGATGACCACGTGGAAATTGCTCGCGTGCTAGCTCATCGTCCCGCTTCCCGAAACATTTGCTGACACGATTCATCGAAGTTCGAGGAAGTTTCACTCCACTCGCGAGCAAACGTTCTTCGTGTACTTACCGATGAATCGTTCCCCGGCCAGTCTTCGCGCTTTTTCATCCTCTGTTCCGGCCCCGTGGCGGCAGGGGCTGAAAGAGCCGCGCTCGAAACTTTTTCGGTCCGGTGGCAGTTAATGAACATCGGACGCGTGCCGTCGATCCCACAAAATCTGTCTACCAACGGTGGCTTCGCACCGAAATAGAATTGCCTGACCCTTCATTCGCTGCTAGCGGAATATCGTTACGGTGTTCTTCCCTCCTGTTTTTGTTTGTTTTGTCCCGTTGACAAACGCGGTTAATCCGCACAATATATGTTCGGCGATAGTATGTTCAGTTAGAAATTGTGTTACAATTGTCGAAGTCCAATGAAAAAAGTGTCCAAAGCAAGTTAGAAAGTTTGAGAAGGAAATAACTATCTTTAAACAATTTCTTTGATTACGTTTGTATATATGTATATGTTTCTCTTTTGTTATTGTTTGTTTCGTTGACAAACGCGATTAATCTACACAATATGTGTTTGATGTCAAAAACAAAGTTTAAAAAAAAGATCGAGTAATTCTAGAATTATCTCCTAGATTTATAGTGTTACCATAGGGAATCCATTACATTATATTATTATGTTACGAATAAAGGAACTATTGTTTATTAAATATTTCTAAATACCACACCTCTTTTTCCAGTCACTGTTAGCCGCAAAAAATATGAAATTCATAATAAGTCCGTATGAAACATTCGCTATTAGTTATTAAGGCTAAATGAACAGAAGCTGTCGCGACAAAATGTCTTATTCGCGATTGTTTTGGAAAAATAGAAACATAAAGTTCTCGTATTCTTCCTTTTGCGAGACAGAAAAACGTTATTTCTCTGTTATTCCAAAACAATCGCCACTGCGACATTTTGTCGCAAACCACTCGCGTGCGTTTAACCTTAGAGCGTCTGCAATATGGCGACTAACACAAAATGGCTCGCGGTTACGAGTTGATCGATTGGATAATCGTGTATAAACAATTTTCTTCTTTTGTGTTCAAGAATAATCCAAGAAAAACTTATACATCGGTTTCCCCAATATTTTAAACACCGACAAGGAGCACAGATCTTTCTTTAACCCCTTATCCAATAATTTCTCACAACTGTGCTTGACAAAACTACTTCACCGTTAACAATTTAGTACAAAAAGAAAAGAATTTGATGCTTATTCTGTGTCCACGTTTACTGTAAAGGCAAACTATTGGCAATAAACAAATAATATTTTATTTGTATGAAAAATATATAAATAACATTTAGATTTGTGGAATTCGATTGAAAATTTTTCGTCACGAATCTGACTCAATATTGTAGGAAAAGAGGCTAATGCAGTGCGGAAAGTTTTGTTGTCAATCTTCGACCTTCCAGCGCGGGAATCGTCTTCAAGGTCCGTGGCTCTGTTCTTATATTTAGCGAACCACCTTTGAAGTGCACGTACATTTACAGTAGCTCTTTGTGGGTGTCCAGGAGGGTGAGATGATCGTAGGAAGTAATTAAAATAGTGATTCTTAGAAGGGAAGCTTTTCAAAATAATTAATGGATCGTCTATTTTTCTTTAAAGACCTCTTCTACAAAGCCGGCTTTAACAAAGGCACATTTTTTCCGCCGTTAAACTTCACACCCGTTACATGTGTACATATACTTTTTACTTTTTTTGTTTCATTTCGATGAAAATAGACCCGTAGTTGTTTATGGAGATGTAATATTTTTGCACACTGATTCAGAAAAGTTGGTATCAAGCAAAAATAATAATGTAAATACGTTTAAAATTTATAAATATCATTTGATAATGTAAATGTAAGAATTTCAATGTAAAGATTACAAATAAAATGAAAGTTTCAGTGATATTTGGAAAATTAAGAAAATCAATTGATTAATTTACTAAGAAATTTAATGAACTATAGTACAATCTTTTTATATATAAAATTGATATACATACTGAAAATTATTAACAGTGATAACCTTCGAAGGTGTTCTTGTCTTCTTTGTTATTAAATTATATATTTTATGAATATTTGCTATCGCAATTTTTTATAAATTTCACAGATTTTCGTACGGCAAAAATGTATAAAATTCACAGTCTGCATAAAAGATCACCATTTATTTTAATTTTCCACTAACTTCCCAAGGTGCAGAATGTTTTCAAAATTCCGCTACGCAATACCTCATGTTTTATTTCAAGTCTGATACTTGATTTATTATTTTTTCAAATTCTTCGCGAGCAACATAATGTAACTCATTTGAGTAGGATAGTAATGGCTCACTCAAAAGGTCCATCTAATTTTACTAAGTAAGGCCTGGGCTAGATTCCGATTTTCTAATCAAATCCGTTAGCACGACTCAGTGAGAAGAAAAAAAACTAGTGGAATATTCAAATTTTTTGTTAACCTGATGAATTAATTGTAGCCAATGCCGAAAGTGAAGTCAGTTCATGAATTGTCACGTGTGTTACACGCAAAGAACATTTGCTATGATTTCTTTACAGTTCCATTTAATATCGACAGAAATATGAATCATAAATGTGATAGTGTCTTCTGCAAAATTTAATAGACACTTAATAGAATTTAGGCAAAGTGCCTAGTGTATAATTCATTATCGTATATAAGTGTGTGTGTATATATGTATATAATTTTGGATATGGTAATAACTAATAAATACATTTGTCTCTCTGACAATTTCATAAAATATTGAAATATTATGAAGAAGAAAAATATAAAGATATTAACTAGTATAATTGAAAAAACTTTTCAGTAATTATCGACTATCTTAATCGATTGCTGCCACTATGGGAGTCAACATGTCTCAATTGTATCGATAAATATTTTTTTTGTATCAGTATATAAATATACTACCATTATTTTAATTGCACTGCTAACGACTGTGTAAATAACACTGACGACAATCTGAAGTCGATGAGGCACACTGTGGGACATTTGCACCGAAAAACCGGACAAAACTACTTTAGCGTTATTTATAGGCTCGAAGTCATAATGTAGTAGGTCATTGAATTCGTCTTAACATCAGATATAACATTGTGAAATAAAAAATTCATTTTGACATTTAAACAATCAAGATGACCCTGAAATCTCTAAAATTCTTATATGTATAAAAGAATTATTAACGCCACATTATAGCACCCTTTATACTGAATAAATTTTGTGAATGGAGTTTTTTCATATTTCCATAAACAGTGGAGATATTGAAGTTCAAACCTTTATTGGACCACCTGTAACTGAGCAGTACCTGCATGTATAATAGAATACAATGAAATATTTGGTATGATGGTTACTTTAAACATTGCTAACGTATATTCGACGATGTCTTAATGAAAGATTACAAAATTATTCGTGAAATGGTGTAATAGTAAAAAAAACATTAGTGATGAATTAGTCATCGTTAAACATGCGTAACGATGATTATATACGTACAGATATATGGTACAGAGGTGAAGAATTATTAAAAGTATATAACATACTTGAAAAACATTCACACTGAAGACAAATTCGCACAAGCTGTTCAAAGCCTACAGAAATTGTTTCAAAGAATTCCAAAAGTAATAAATACAGTACAGAAATGATTAACTTTCGGCAAATGTCAGCGCTTCATGAATACACTGTAGTTAAAAAAATGATTGTTACATCGTTCCCCGCATATTCACCTATTTCAAACACTAAAATTTATACCACTCAAAATAAAATGTCATAAAATTGCCTTTTACTCAGTTTTCCTTGTACTGTACCACAATGGTACAGTACAAAAATCTCTAACCCTCATCAAAGCTCACCGCCACTTAATTCCTAGCACATTAACCTACTTCAAACACTAAAGCTCATATCATCCAAAATAAAATTTCGTAAAATTGCTTTTTACTCAGTTGTTCGTGCAAATGCCCCACTGTTCGCCACCGGTCGAAAACAGAAGCGGGCCGACGGAGGACGCGTCGCGTCGCGACACCCTTCCGAGCGCGTGCACGGCGCGCGGCAGCTGAAGAAGAAGACGAAGAAGAGAACAGGAGGCTGGCGAGTGGCGGTGGAGGGCGAGGGAGGCTGCGCTCCTATATGTAGCCCCGAATCTTAGCCGGAGCAACTATTACGCCCGAAAACCTCGAGGCGGACGCACCCCTGTTCTCCCTGAACGTGTGCACAGGGCACGGTCGCCTTCGACGCGACAGCTTTTTATTTATTTACATCTTACACCCATACATATATACATATACATACACGCACATTTTTATTTTCCCCTACCCTCAGTCTCGATCAAAGAAATCGCGTGCCAGCTCGTACCGTCGAGTTTAACGATCATTCTCTCGTCAAGCGTCTCGTCGGTGTGAAACGTGTGGTGACACCAGTGGGATTAGAACCGAGGCATGATTTGTGTGACCCGTGGAGGACTGTGAAGAGAGAACCGAGCGCGAGGAACACGCCGACAACCCCGCAGGGAAGATGCCGAGGGCCTTCCTGATCACGCATCGCCGGTACAACGGGGTCGACGAGGAGTTCGACGGATCCGGAAGAGGTTCGTTCATTCAAAGAAACTAAAGGAAACGTTGCAAGCGCCAGAACTAGAAATTTGGTTTTTTCGGATTGGAAAATATTCTAATGTAGATGCGATAGGACCTTGAAAACCGAGTCTTTCTACTTTATGCGCTAGATAGATTTGGTCATTCGTGAAGTCAGCAATTTGGGTCTTGGATTAGTCTTGGATTATAGCTCAGGACATGTAGCAATTTTGTAAACGTACTTTGAAAAATTTCTTCTTGACCTTTCTTTTGTTTGGGCTGATAACTCCTATTAAATCGGATCATCGAGGTTATGCTGCATTGTTAGACGGCAGTTAAGTATAATTTTTGTTTTGTGAGTCTTAACAGTACTAAAGGATGACATTGCTTTAATGTAAGCGACTTTTTTTCTTGATCTTCAGGAATTTGACGATTGGCACTTGCAATGTTTTTCATTCTCGTAGAGTTCTTGTTATCCGACTCATGTCTTCGCGATTTCGGGCCCGTGCCAGGATTTTTCTCGATCTTCCGCGTTCTCGTGGGCCGTCGCCGGTCTCTGAGATTAAGCTTACTGTCGTCGCAGTTGGATTCCGACTTTGGTAGAGTCTGTACACCGATGAATATAATGCTCGATACTTCGGCTATCAAAAGCCCATTCATAGAGGACATTTGAAAAGAACTGACTAGTTTTCGTTGGAGTAGTTGTCTTGAAGAAATTGCTGTGTCGTGTTTGGAGAGACTTGTTGGTTCGCGATTGTAGTCAGTTGTCATTGCCGTTGAAAGATGTGTTAGGAAATCTTTAACTGCAATGAGTAACTTCATCATTCAATTATTTCTATTTTCAGCCAAACTTCGGCAAAAGTTTAATTAATGTTCTAAAGATATCATTCCATTAGCTTCCTGAACTTTTATATCACAAATTCAGTTGCCATTGTCATTCATGGATTTTAGCATATAAATGACTGGATTAATAATTTAAAAGGATTACTAAATAAGTGTTGGTCGGTAGAATCTTAACGTTAAATATTAGTACACGCAATTGTAGAAACAAAGAGAGCATATGCTAAAGGTGCTATCAGAGATAGTAAACTGAGTCTCGATCCTAAGCAAGATTTTCAAAAACGCAAGATATAAGTACTCTCTGGTTGAGAAGTGTTGGTGGTGGTTATTCTTCGAGACGAAAAGTCAGGAAGGCAAGGGGATTCTTCCACTCATGATTTTTCGACCGCCTCAGTTTTCAACGCATAGTCATCATTGGTGCGCAGTAATAACACAGGACGGAAGCGAGAAGTAAGGATAGAAATCAAAGTCATAGTGTCGCCAGCTTTGTTCTCTATCGTTACATCTCACGTCGTCGCATTCGATCTCGCTTCCGTCGTTTGTTATTGCTGCGCATCAATAATGACTATACATCGAAAACCGAGGCGGCCGAAACATCGTTAGCGGAAGAGTCTCCTTGTCTCTCTACCTTCTCGTCATAAAGAATAATTGCCAACATTTCACAGCCGGAGAGTGCATTGTTAGTTTAAATGAAAGATATTTTAATAAACGCTGTATTAATCGATGTATTAGGTTCTATTCCACCGTCCACGTTAGCTAGACCGTCCCCTAAGAGGTTTCAATTTGATCGGGAGCTTCGCAGACTTCCATTGCGCTCTAGGAATTCATAAATGACCACGATGATGATTAATCCGTTAAGATTGATGAACTTAGTAATGTTAACCCTTTACATTTCAAAATTCAACCATTCCGACCGAATGTTATTTATACTTCCGGTTGCTTTTGAGAATCTCAACTACGCCAATCATGAATCAACCTAACTATTGTTTTTCGTATACCTAGAGACATTAACCGCTTCATAAATCGGGTAGAGATCGTTCGCAAAAGGGCAAACTGCTGTTTAACACTTCAAGCCGACATCTGTGCGGAGTACTAACTCTGTGTCTTTGTTTCTTATTTATTTACAATCCTTTTTCTACCTTATAAAATCAGAGGCAGCGAGGAGACATATCAGAAAATCGAAATTGTCAGTAGATTCATTTTTAGTAGAATCAGAACTTAATGAGCAGACCGAGTTCTCCATCCGGTTCAAGGGTTACTGGAAAATGTACCATGAATACGGTGATCGCAGCATCACACTTTATCGAAATCATATGCAGAACAGGCAATTTCCTAAATAAAACAGAAATTGGAAGGTGAAGATCTCTCATGAGCCATTGTTCTTTTAACCCTAACATTCGATTCAGTAGGCGCGTCATCAAGAAAATTAATGTTCAAGTTCATAGAAAAAATCGTATTGCCCGAATTCGGCTGACATGGCAGTCAAAATATGAACCCTTAATTTAATCTGTTTTCGCACTGTAACTGACTAGTAAAACGCGTCTCTGTTGCGTTGTTCTCTCCAGAATTAATAAAATAACATAAAAATAATTATCGTTTACAAACTTTCGCAAGACACTTAAAGAAGCAAACTAAAGAAATAACCAGTTTTGATTCTAAACACATATTAATCTGATAATTAATGTAATGCGATACCTGGAGTTCCGTTTGTAGTTTTATCACATAAAAATGTTTAACATTAAATATTGAAATTATTAAAACATTAAACTAATATTAAAATATTCCTTGAAGCTAAGTACTTAACACATCAAAGATTCCTAACTTGTAACCATTCTAAGTAACTAAAAACTACTTAAAAAAGTGGATGGTTACTAAGCATGATTGACAACAAAGTGTCTGATCCACAATGCGTTAAAGATTAACGGCGGCGGAAGCACAATCCAGCGGGATCAGTGGATCTCGTTGACCTCGATCGAAAGCTCCGCGTGAGAGCCGAAAGGGACGCAAGCATGCACGCACGCTGGTCGTTGCTTCGCGATTAAGGTGGGCACGCCATCGCCGCGAACCGTTTTAAGAATAGGAGACGCTAGATGCGTCACGAAGCTCCTCGCATCGCGCAGCGCATACCGCCACGATGCCGTCAACCCCTCCAAAGCTTTCCGACGTCCGCGGCGTGGAAAGCCCGGAGTACAGACGGAGAGAGAACGATAAAAAGAAGGGAGAGGAAAAGACGCTCTATTTCCGTTCTCCCCAAAAACGGAGCAGCCGGTGGACTCTAATGCGAAGATGCTCCGCGGGCTTCGATACACGCGGAGCTTTTCTCGACGTTCGCGGAAAAAAAACGCCTCTGAACTGATTTCTTAGAAGTATTCGGGGATCGCCGTAATTCCTCTTGGCGCGGATAAAGTCTTCGGTCGAGGACGAGTTACGATTCAGTTTCCAGTAGAACTTTCACACCTGCCCTCTCTTTCTAGGTTCGCCAATCTTTGTTTGTAGGGTAGTTACCACTACATTTGTGCTGAACGTTGAGAAATCGGTCAGACTTCTTTTATCAGTGTTGTCGGTGTTTCTAAATTTTTATTTGTTGGTTTGAGGGTAACTTTAAAATCGGTGGATAACGATTGATGTTTGTTTGATTACAGGTATTCCTTCTTGTTGCGAAGTTTCGTTTCTATCGTTCGATGTAAGACCACGGAAATTTGTTGATTAAAATTTGTTGTGTCTGAACTGGTGTCCTTGGAGATCTGATATTATTTATAGGTCTATCGAAACTGATTGACAGTACCATCTTATCGTGTGATTCATTAAAGGTATCGGATTCTATTTCAAAGGCAAGCTAATGATCATCCTGGATTTTGTGTTTAAATCATTAAAGAAATAATCTTAAAAATTGAAATTAAGGTGATAATACCGAGAAAGGTACTTCACAATCATTTACAGGGAGACAGTATTCCTCAATAAAGGCAAACAAATTGTATGACTGAAATCCTCGTTAATCTTAAAAAAGTCCGGTAGCCTCAAGAATCTCTTCCCGATAACCTGTGAGGAACTGGCTCGTAAAACCGGCCCGAACTATGCATCACGAAACAATCAGTTGAAACCAGATCGAAGTATCAATCGGAATTTCCTTGAGTCCGATCACGAGAATCTCTTGGACGTGCGCCAAAACGCGTTCGAACGCGTAGAAACCTTGCTAACGATGACAAACGATTCCTAGCGCTGCAATTTGATCGTCTCTAAATTTCGCGGAGTGTAACAGTCTGGCGCTTACGGGTGCGCTTGACAAATTGCGATCTCCTTGAACACGAAATTCGCAGGCCCGTTGTACAGATTAGGTCGAAAATAAGATCACCCATAGATATCGTTGTAGCGTGCTTGTTTAATGGTCCCCGTTCGATCCTTTGCGCAGACTTCAGCCCTGAGAGAGGCGTTCGACTGGCCGACTACAGCAGCAATCATCCGACGTCGGACGGCGCAAGCGAATGCGGCAGTGAAACGTCGTCGGAGTGCCCTGAAGAACTGTACAACCTGACGAAATTGGCCGAAGTGAGCTTAGCCGCGGCTGCTGGCACGCTGATTCACCCCAGCAACGTAATTTATCAGCAGCCAGCCTCGCCTAGATGCGCTCAATTCTCAGACAGGATCGTGACACCGCGGACCAAGCAACCGGACTCGCAGTTCCAGGACCACGGCAGGCCGATCGACGACGAACAAACATTGGGGGAAAGAACCAGACTGTTCTTTGAGAGGATTGAGTCTGAACGGGAGATCTTGCAGAGCCACTCGGAGAGGAACACGGTTCTAGGCATCCACGTGTCGGCCCATCCTCATCGTTTGCAAGACGAACGACGCATGGAAGTGTCTGACAACTCGTTGGACAAAACGGAATCGGAAACTGTGTCACCAGTATTGTCCGTCGTACCTCAAGGCAGAAGGACAACCTCGACCTCAACGGAAGCGTCGAAGTCCGAGGACAATGAGGACCATGAATGCCCGGACTGCGGGAAGAAGTACTCGACTTCGTCGAACTTAGCCAGACACAGGCAGACTCACAGATCCCTCGGAGACAAAAAAGCGAGGAGGTGCCCTCACTGCGACAAGGTCTACGTCAGTATGCCTGCTTTCAGCATGCACGTCAGAACGCACAATCAGGGGTGCAAGTGCCATTACTGCGGCAAGTGCTTCTCGAGGCCGTGGCTGCTTCAGGGACACATACGTACGCATACAGGTGAACCTTCATATCTACGTAATAAGAGAAAACCTTATGAAATACATACCTGAAACAAATAAAATAGTACCATTATCAAGTTACACTATATTCCATTTCAATGTTTATCACATTTTTACTATACCTGAATAAGTCCCGCCATTGTTCTGTCCGTCGCAACCAGTCACTCCCCAAAGTATCTTGAATGTATCTGTTAAAATACATACTCTTGTATTTCCTTTAATTGAAAAACCAGAAATAAGTAATTGCCCTTTGAACAAATTTTCGCGTAGCATAACGATTATTTACATTTTCCATTTCAGGCGAAAAACCATTCAAATGCACGATCTGCAACAAAGCGTTCGCCGACAAGTCGAACCTACGTGCTCACATCCAGACTCACTCGAACACGAAACCGCACGTGTGTGGCCGTTGCGGCAAAGCGTTCGCTCTGAAGTCCTATCTCTACAAGCACGAGGAATCGTCCTGCATGCGCGCACATCATCGCTCGTCCACGGAGAAATCGGATGGGAACGACCAAAAAATAGCGTCCACTAAATCTTGCCCGCCATTGTCATCCTCGTCGTTGAACCGGTTGACGACGACGCCCTGCGTCACCGCGTCACCTACCAGTGTGATAGTACCCCGGCTCGACCTGAACCGTGATCAAAGAAACTCGTCATCCGCGTTCTCCGCAATCATCAGGCACACCAGAATATCAGACGCGGCTAACCCGCCATCGAAACGACCCTGCAGAGAGAAGACACCTCCTTCGATCGAGGAGTCGGAAAGAAACATGACGGACGAGTCGACGAAAGAGCAGGAATGCGTATCTCGAATGGTGATCAGAACGTCCGTGATTTCCCCAAATCCGGAGCATCTCGGTCGTTTCGGCAACGACGGCCAAAATTCCTCGAACAGTTTCGACTTCTCGGATCCTAGGAGGACCTCCGCGTTCTCCAGACCAACAACGATGACCCTCAATCTGGCTATCGCATAAATATTGAATAACTGCATTAGCGAGCGTAGGTAAAATAGAAACCGATGGCGGGCTGGGACACATAACCTATTTTCACAGAACGTCGGGACGGCCGTGAAACGATCGTTATCCGAAACCGAAGACGAACAGATACACCATTGTTTTGTAGAAATGACGAGACGTCATTATTTGCTAGCAACTAGTGTCATTCCTACCAATATACCGAAGTAAGTCCGTTTTTTTCTGTTTAGTGGCGGGAACGTTTGAAATTCTTGTTACCGACCGATGCCTTCGAAACGATCACCCTTTTTTTCTTTTTCTAATAGTCGGAAGTAGAATCAAATTTGGCGGGAAAGCCGGTCATGAATCGTGTAACCGCGATCCACAGAAATTACGAGACGCAATGTTATTCCATACACCTTCCTAATTAGGGACCATCTAGCAGATAGTCATAGTAAGAATGAAATCGTGAATCGTTGATTCCTGAGTGTCGTGCCTTAAACTTTAATCTCGCGTTGACAGATTTTGTTCTTGTCAAAGACACGCGCGCCGCGTCGTATTAAGAGAGTAATTTATTGACTCGAAGTGAAATCTAGTGCCTATGTACGCGTACTAACCTTAACGCTGATCGCGTCGATCAAATCCAAAGTTCTCCGTGCTCTTCCAGGCAGCTAAAATATTTCCTTGACGCTTGAAAACTACGGTACGTCTAACCATAAAATGTCGACGGACACCGATCGAAACCAGAGATAATCAAAGAACTCTTTGAATACTAGGACCATTATATTTCAACTTGAACCAAACTCGATAAGTATAATTACATGTTTAAAAATGTTTACGATTGTCTTGAACCGGACGTTCAACCGCGATAGTTAATTCAAGTCCACGTTCAAAGGAAGCGAAAATATGTTTAATCTGCGAAAATTCGAAATTTTTATTCAAATATGAAATAGTTACCTAAGATAATAATTACACGTTTAATAACCGTTCTCGTAGCGTCGTAGTTTAATGATACTTTTATGATCGTTGTAAACAGAACAGTCAACTATGATATTCAAATTCACATTCGAAGAAAATGAAAGTGTATTTGAACCGCGTAAATCTGAAATTCGAATTTAAATGCCAAATAGTTACCTAAGATGTCTGTTGAAACGATCGATAGAGGAACATATGGATAAATGTAATTTCGGGTGTCGTCGTGTTGGCCGCGAACATATATCTAAGACGGTAGTTTTATATTGTAATGCATTAAGCGCGTTTTCTTTTTTTTTCTTTTTTTTTATATAAATAAAACGCGTATTGTCTGTGATTCGAAGTTAACGGAATTCGACTGCCGTACGCAGTCTATGTGGCCCTCTATTAGCCGCATCGTATAATAAGTAAAATCGTTTTTAATCCGTTACCGACTGACGGTAACAATCCGAGTGTAAACTAGTCCAATTTCGCATTGCTATTCCGAGCGTAACCCAACGAAACGTAATTCGAAAATTCGTTGAATTTTGTAATTAATCAATTAATGTAAAAATAAAATCTTTGTTAATTACGCGTTTAAATGAACAATTTCGTGAGGTAGCGCGAATATTCGAATAGCAACAGTTATGATTAAAGGTTTATGTAGTTTATCAATTTTTTTTCTTTTTTCACTGTAAAATTAAAAGATTGTGTTTACAATTAACCTGGAGCGAGGGCGTACGATAAGTACGCGTATCCTAGTCATCGATCCAAGGCGTAGATCGAAAATAGGGATCCCGATATTTGTAATATTCTATTGTATAGCCGTGTGAGCCACACGTTGTAAATAGCATTCCCTTACATTACGTATTAGTACTTAGAGTATCTCGCATTATTAGCCCTTTTAATTAGCGCGACTTAATTTACTGTTGTTTTATGTATGTAACGTGCCATTTGTACACCGGAGTGCCTAAACAAACGTTTTACCAATTTTTCTACGAATTGTAAAAGTATTGTCTATTACAACGAGAAAATATATACATATCGCCATACACAAATGACTTTGTATTATATCCTTCCTGAGAGGAGCGATCAAATACCAGAGATCACACAACTATTAAGTTACCGAGAAAAACTTTTTCAAACATTTTATAACGTTTTTAAAACTTCAAAAATATCAAGCTCTCTTAAGCTGTCTGTTCCCAGACAATTTCAGCGGAGGTATTAGGACATTTTGAATACAACTATTACGTGTTACTCTGTTTTTCGATTTAACTAGGTATAAATGAAATTTGTTTAGTAAAATAATTATAAATAAAAATGATAAGTATAAATAAGCATAAAAAAAGTAGATCAAATAAACCAACGTTTCTTATGCTTTACATAAACTAGTAATCTTCTCTTTACAATGAAGACAATCACACAGATCTGCAATAAAAGACAGTCAGATTCGTACGATCGGAATTAAAATATAAAATGCCCATTAGATCTTCATTTGGCTTTTAATCGTCGAACTCTTCGTAGAGTCGATGAATTATACGATAGTTAATAGCGGCCCGATACGAAACAAACAACGAATTGCTGTATTTACCAAATGGTTTCGAGTTCATAACTAGGGCAACGAAGGGGAAAGCATCTATCTTAGTCAGCCGATGTCGGTTGGTCGCATAAGCCGAGTTTAGGCGATATCGTTCACGATTAGAAAGATATTCATGTCCCGCAAAGCGAACTGCGAAACAGTGTAGAAAAGTTGAGATTACTCTTATCCAGAATAATTCCGTGTGAATATAAATATCGCCGTCGAAATTCTGCGTGTATCGTAAAACGACGAAAGAAATCCCCTCTTTCGATAGTGAAAATGGCGCGCATACACCATCGGGGTGCATTCGAACGTTCTGCATTCGGTGCAGCGCAACTCTTCATAGTAATAATAAATCACAAAAAAGAACTTTCGAACAATAGAACAATCATTTTTCTCTACGAATATTTTATATCTCCAAAAGAAAAATATTCGTAACAATATAGAAAATAAGAAAATAGCATGCATTCAACTTCTTTCGCAGCTAAATCGTACGATATAAAATACAGGAAATCTATCGGCTTATCGTGAGAATCTGACGAAGTCGTTCAAAGCCGATTCTTATTTTCGAAAAAAAGAACCCCTTACTTTTTCTATTAAAGCTATTTATATTTGCTATGTAGAGTCAAAATAACCCATTCCTGATTTCTTCCTTTATTACATAGTTACTAAAAAGGCACAGATCCTTCTTCGAAAAATGATTAAAGAAGTTTGTTTAGCAACACCCAAACTAAAATACAAATTAAAAGCTTTAATAAAGGCACGTTTATAGTTTCCACAAAGAAATGTTCAAAAGGCAGTTTAAGCGCTTGATGGTTCTAGCGTTAACGTCTTAATCGTTTGCTTTTTTCATCTTCGAGCTGCTTATGCATTGCGAATCAAACGTAGCCGTTTCAAAGAGGCTCATAAACGCGTTCCTGTAACATGATCTAAACGTCGCGAAAGGCAGAAGATAGCGTAGCACTTACAACAGTGTAGACGCACTTACATCACGATTTACATGCCCGCGCTTCTTAGAACCGCTCCTATCAAACCGTCTTCCCCCCTTCCACGCTTTAATACAAATCTTCGTGGCTCTTGATCTTTTCGCGAGATCGAGCACAGGCGGCAAAAGAAGAATACTAAAAGGAAAGAGGTGTCCGGGTGGGAGTCCACGGTTCAACTTACCTAAATCATCGTCAAACAAACGAGACAGTCGCAAAGAGGATTGCGACCTACGCTGAAGCCATGCGATTGATCCTTGTCTTCCTGATCCTCTCTCCGGGGACGGTATTCCCGAAATACACGGTAAGCTTATTGTGGATTTTACCTTTTTTTCTCCGTTAGCACGTTCAATTCTTTTCCAAGTAAAAATAAGTGTCTACTTCAGCTAAGTTACTACAATGCATTCGTTTAACTTCTACGCCGGTCACCGATGATCGGAACTTCTAAATAATAAGAAAATAATTATGACTTTTAAAATAACTGATTTCGAATAAAAACTGTCTGTAGTGTAAATAAGTAGATCATAAGATAACGTAAGAATTTTCATACAAAATAATTAATAATTCTTCATTTTTATCTTTCCTACAGAAATAACACATAAAACGCTGATGTTTTTCGTAGCAGTCAACGTGTTAACACTGAGTTTATGGAAGACATCAATTTGAAACGTACTGAATTTTATAAACATTATTGACAAACGTTCGTGTCGATTTTGATCGACCCAATTAGGCAAATACGTATTTTCTGGGAACAAAAGAATAAAGTGTACAATAAATATCCGTAAACCTAGTGTTAACACGTTGACTATCACGGGAATTTCAATTATTTTGTGTAATAATATTCATTCTTTCATAACAAAGGCAAATGGTATAGGAAATAATGGCCTGGTATGACAGTACTCATGTTACGATATTACCTAGTCGCTTATGTTACTAAATATTTTTATTCAATATCAATTTTTTTAGTGCAATTGTTTTCAAGCAATCTTGAGGTTTCGGTTATCGGTGACAATAGTGGGCAGTGAATATGTTAAAGAACATCTATACCCTTTCGTATTAACATTTTAAACGACCGATAATTTTTAAATTATTAATTATAATGGTTATCAATTTCTTTATAAATTTATATATTTTTCGTGGGAAGCACCATATACTAGCAGAATTCATAGTTCATCTCCTCTTTCTATAAATTTACAAAATATTGCCAAGCGTCGGTTAAGTGTTAAGGAAGTTTAATATAGAAATGAATATAAAATAAAATATTAAAATTGAAATATACTTTGATGTTAAAGTTGTAAGCTGAAACGTGAATCTTAAGTTTTCAATCTCATACAATAATTGACTAATTGGCTTAAAGCTTTTTTTATATGTTTTTTATGTGCATTTTTTCGAAACCCTATTAAAAATTGTAAAAATCTGCCCAATATCTCCTTTTGTGATTATCTATTTAAAAGTAAAATCAAGGTTTGTATTATATTGCATACATTCGTCGAGTTTATTTCGAGATTCTTTGGTAAAATAAAAAGGCAATACAGGTATGAAAACATTTATATAATGTTTCATTGTAAATTAACGAAATATTTTGCTTTCTCTTTGGCACGATGCTTTCTTGAATCTATTCAAGTCGTGACTACAAATCGACTATTCGTATTTAAAGCCGGCTCAGAGAAAGATTTCAAGATCAAAGTTCGTGTGATAAGTCGATACTAAATAGCTCGGCCCATTTCCTAATTTCTCTTGTTTCGCGTTATCCCTTTGCCTCGCTTCTCTTATTCGACTTCTATGATTTCGTTCAAGTTCGAATCTTCCAATGAATGTTGTCATTGATGCATTTATAAACAAATCTAAAAATTTATAAAAATATTTGTACATTTGTTTCTCAATCTTAGTACCTTTTCTACAGAAAAAAACACGTTTCGATCGCTCGGTTCACGATGATTCCGGAACACTTGTCATGGATAACTATTTACCGATGAAACGATGGACGTTCACAGATTACGACATGGTAATAAATATTTACTTCCGTCTGAAAAATTTCACGAACACATTCGAATGCTCCACTCGTGGAACTTATTCCAGAACTTCAAAGCGTTCAGGGACAAAGAAGAAAACGTTTGTTATTTAGAGAAGTTAAATGATCGCACAGCTCTAGAAGACCTCTCAGAATATGGTACACAAGAACAAATAACAAGGGTACTCTACGCATCCACGGAAGCTTTAACAAAATTAGAGGTAAATAAATGATAATTCTTATAATTATTTTTACAAATGTTAATATCCTTTTTCCATTTGCAGGCATGGCGAATCGCTGGTGGTAGAATAATCGAATTCTGTCAAGGACGTAAGCTGATTTTATTACAAAACGCTGTACCGGTGATCGAACAAATAGCAGACCCCTTCTTTAATATGATCCCGCAAGATGAAAACGATATCGTAACTAGACGAGTAGCTGACGTAGTTCTAACACCGCTGATAAGTCGAGCGAAGAGACAAATCATGTTCGAGGAACGAGAGAAACTTAATGGGAATGTTAAACGGGTCCGTTCGCGACGACAAATTCAACAATCCAGAGGAAGATTCAGGGGACAGACGCAGTCTCAATATTTAAATATGGCTACCGACGAACAAAGCGAAGGCAAAGCCGAAGCAGAAGCTACTCAACAATCTTCTCACGCTGTAGTCAGTGAGTATCTCGAAATGAAATTTCCATGTTGATTTATTACTCGAGTAAAGTGGAAAATGAAAATATTAAACATTTTTTAAGGTGGAAGTCATGGCATGGGTCAGGCGCAAAGTATGTCTTTCGGAGGCTCTGGATGTGAAGATTGTCTTAAATATACTACCGAGGGTGCACCAGATAGGTATGTGCACCTTCCTAACGCTGGGATTATCCCTGGAACTAGAACAGATACAACTTTCACACATGGTATCCTATCTGAAGAAAAAGTTTACCTAAATGCAGTAAATACGGTGAATAATTGCAACACCATAATTGTAATCACCAACATAAGGGGATTCCTCTTGTCAGCTGTGACTAAGTAAAACAGTATAATCCAGTTGCCAAACTTCGAGATTTCAATGCCTCTTTCTTTTATATTTGCAGTCCTTTTTTCTATATTCAAAACATATATTGCTTATTATACAAGTAATCATGACTATAAATTTTATTTTGATTGGTGTCATTTTAATCAGAAAAATGTAATAGACATGACGGTAAAAGTTTCACTTATCAAAAGTCAAAAATAACAAAGTATAGTCTTTGAATTAAAAGTCTGAAAATTATTGCCTCTTCTGTTTCTTCAACAGAACAGAATCATTTTTACCTCTCCATAAATGCAACATTTGGGATTCGATTTGTATTGCAATTATTCAACATTTACTGTAATATGATATTAAATTCAGTGATAACACCACATATAATTGTAGGAGGAGTTTATCCTGGCAGTACGTCTAATGCAGCAGATAGAGATGGTGGAACTTACCCAGTTGGCATAGTTGATATTAGACCAGAAAGAATCAACTACATCACTAGGATACCCGGTACAGCAACAGGTGGAGGTGGAGCAGTTTATCCTGGTGGTGTATCTAACACTAAAACAAGACAAGATGGTGCAACATATCCTAGTGGCATACCTGGTACATCAACTGCGGGTGGAGTTATTCAACCTGGTGGAGTATCTTTACATACTAGGACACAAGATGGCACAACATATCCTAGTGGCGTACCTGGTACAACTGGGGGTGGTGTTATTTATCCTAGTGGGGTACCTTTACATACTACAACACAAGGTGGCGCAACATATCCTAGTGGCATACCTGGTACAACTGGGGGTGCTGTTATTCAACCTGGTGGGATACCTTTACATACTACGACACAAGGT